GTTTTTACAAATGTATTTATTATCATTATTACAGTTCTTCCTATGAGCCTCAACTGAGACTGGGGCCCTATGGTTTTAGGTACTGTACGAACAAACAGCTAGAGCCAGCCTCTGCTGTGAGAGCTGACAGTCTAAACAGACAACGGATGGAGAAAGGATGGTGAACTGAGACACGGAGAGAGTAAGTGATGGGCTGACCTTGGGCAAATCACGTCACCTCTCTGTGCCTCAGTTTCCCCATCTGTGTAATAGGGATAAAAATGCTGACCTCTTTTGTAAAGTGCTTTGAAATCTGCTGATGGAAAGTTGTTGCAGAGCTGGGACATGAAGCCAAGTCTCCTGAGTTTCGGTCCAGTGCCTTATCCACAAGAACATGCTGCTTCTCAAATGTGTGTGTTTGTGGAACACTTTGTGTGAACATCTCTTGGACTAGAGGCAATTTGCAAACTAGGTTTGTTACGTACGTTCACTATTCTCAACCATCCCCGTGTGACTGGTCCTATGCAGTCAGCAGCCCTGACAGCAGTCTCTGCCAGCAAAGCTTTGCCCTCATACCTATGTTCTTTTGCTAGTGGGGGGCAGATCACGGTAAACTGCTGTCTGGAGAGAGTTTTTTATTGCCAAAATGAGTGGGAAAAGCAGGAAGGCAGAGCGACTCCCAGTGCGTCAAGAGAATGAGGTGCAGCTTTATGCAGTGAGATTGGAGTATCTGGAAGAGCGTGTTGATCTGCAGAGGAATGTACACATCGTGGTTTTTGTGACAGAGAAGATGATGGCACTAGTGCAATCCCCTGGGAGAAGAGGGAGGAGCAGGAGGGCTCCAACAGCCAAGAACAAGGCATGGTGAAGGAGAGGGAATTTTTGACCACTAATCACATGATGAATGAAGAGGGGGGAAAACAGGTACTCAATAAGAAGTTGAACAAGTAACATCCCTGTGACGCTTTCCAAGGATGCCCAGAGTTGTGAGGCCCCTCGCTGCCACCTGCCCTTGGTGTGAGGAAGCATTGTCTGTGCCTGCTGGGGGTCAGCTCCCCAACGACATTGACCACGGGCAACACAAGCCCTCCCTGGTAGGTAGGCCTTGCAGGCCCTGCTGTCTCCCTACAAGTTAGCAATCAGCACACTCCAGCTCTTAAACCCTCTGAACCTCTTCCTGAGTGTCCACCTCTGGTCCACTGGACACGAGCAGTATTCACAGATTTGCTGCTTCCAAAGGAACAGTACCCCCAGCTTATCAGTTTCACCTCAGATCCCCACTCCACTTAACACCCAGCACTCACACACCTTTATAGTCAAATAAAGTAAAAGTTTATTTAACACAGCCTCGCGCTACAAAGGGGGAGGGATAGCTCAGTGGTTTGAGCATTAGCCTGCTAAACCCAGGGTGGTGATTTCAATCCTTAAGGGGGCCATTTAGAGATCTGGGGCAAAAAAAATCTGTCAGGGGGTACTTGGTCCTGCTGTGAAGGCAGGGGACTGGACTAGACTCAACTCAAGGTCCCTTCCAGTTCTATGAGATAGGTATATCTCATAAGTGATAGCAAGTAGAAATATTGGAAACAGATGGTTATGTCCATAACATGCATTCTAGACTTAATTAACAAAATACTCTGATGTCTTGTAGAGTATCGCTCCCCCACAATCTTTACAGAATTTCACAGCCAGGCTGGCTGTGACCCTTTCATAAGACAAACACAGTTAGCTTGCTTCCTTGATGAAGGAGTCTCTGGGTTTCCTTATATACCCCAACAGTCCTCTGTCTTTAGTCAGAAACAGGACACCCCCTGCTGTTTGTTGTATCCTGTGAATTTCCTCTCTGGTAGTTTTCATAATCTTTTCTTCTGCCTGGGGCTCAGTATGAAAATAGACCCAACATTGCCATGAATTGCAGGCCTGACACACATATGACCAGTCAGGGAAATAGGCATCTGGTACCACTTGCCTGAAAGGAACATGTCTGAGTTATGTCACCTCCTGGTGACCTGCTTTAACTTTAAGACCGTAGGAACATAATTTTCAGTATAGATACTTAACTGCTTAAATATGATCTGTACACACATTTTGCAGTGATTATGTTAACCAGTGGGCTAGTGGCTCTCAGTAGAGACCTCACATGCCCCCTTTGGTGAACTATTTTGCCTACATCTGACCCAGGAATTCCTATAAAAAACCCTATGCACTCCTGTGCCCTCTGCCAGCTGGCATACAGAAGTCTCTGGGTCACAAGTCCCTTAATTCAAAATCCTCATTTCAGCTCCATTGACTGTATCATAAACTAAACACAACACAATAATTCCTCTAAAGGCTGCTTTTGACTGGCTTTTATTAAAACTTGTCAGCTCATTGGAACTGCCCATTAACTGATAACAAACCTACATCACTATAAACCCTACTCACTGATCCGAAGTTAAGGACCCCTTGTGCTGTAAAGCTGAGGAACTTACTGTGTATTCAGTTTGGTTGTTGTAGGCTTTTTCGTTGATCAGAGGTTAAGATCCCTTCTCGGCTCTAGCAGTTTGTGTCCTTCAGTTGCTGTTTTCTAAGATCAGCTACGCTCCTTTCTCTTCCCCAGTGTTATGTTACAGGATTTGCCTTGAGAGGCGGAGTCTGGCTTCCTGGATTTTCTTTCCAGGAAGTGGATTTTTTAGTGGAGATCAAAAGTTTTTTTCGAAAACAAGGTTAGAATTCAGAGTACAAAGCTGGATGTGTGATCAACTTGGAAGCCTGAAGGCCAGGGCCGGCTCCAGGGTTTTGGCCGCCCCAAGCAGCCAAAAAAAAAAAAAAAAA